TGCAACGTCACGCCGACTTCTGCCGCCGGACGCCCGCCCCGCACTCCGTGCCCCTCCCTGCCCCCGGCCTGAGTGCGCCAGAGCCCCCGAGTCAGCGGCTCCTTTAACCCCGTCCTGTCTGAGCAAAAAACAGACGCCCTCCAGCGACCTACACGCAGAGGCAGGGCCAAATCCAAAGCTGAGACCCTGTGAGCTGTGAGAACAAAGAAGAAAGAGGGAAATCTCTCCCAGCAGCCTCAGAAGCAGCGGATTAAAGCTACACAATCAACTTGATGTACCCTGCCTCTGTGGAATACATGAATAGACAGCGAATCATCCCAAACTGAGGAGGTGGACTTGGAGAGCAAGATCTATGATTTTTTCCCCTTTTCTTCTTTTTGTGAATGTGTATGTGTATGCTTCTGTGTGAGATCTTGTCTGTATAGCTTTGCTTCCACCATTTGTCCTAGGGTTCTATCCGTACCTTTTTTTTCTAATAAATTATTTTTTAATTCAATAACTTAATTATACTTTATTTTATTTTACTGTATCTTCTTTCTTTTTTCCTTCCTTCCCTCCTTCCTTCCTTCCTCCCTCCCTCCTTTCTTTCCTTCTTGCCTTCTTTCTTTCTTCCCTCCTTCCTTCCTTCCTTCCCTTTCTTTCTTTCTTTATTTCTTCCTACTTCTTCTAATTCTCTGAACTTTCTCTCCCTTTTATTCTGAGCCGTGTGGATGAAAGGCTCTTGCTGCTCCAGGCAGGAGTCAGGACTCTGCCTCTGAGGTGGGAGAGCCAACTTCAGGATACTGGTCAACAAGAGGCCTCCCAGCTCCACATGATATCAAACGGCGATAATCTCCCAGAGACCTCCATCTTAACACCAGCACCCAGCTTCACTCAAAGACCAGCAAGCTACAGTGCTGGACAACCTATGCCAACCATATAGCAAAACAGGAACACAACCCCACCCACTAGCAGAGAGGCTGCCTAAAATCATAATAAGTCCACAGACACCCCAAAACACACCACCAGACGTGGACCTGCCCACTAGAGAGACAAGATCTAGCCTCATACACCACAACACAGCCACTAGTCCCCTCCACCAGGAAGCCTACACAACCCACTGAACCAACCTTAGCCACTGGAGACAGACATCAAAAACAACGGGAGCTACGAACTTGCAGCCTGCAAAAAGGTGAACCCAATCACAGTAAGATAAGCAAAATGAGAAGACAGAAAAACACACAGCAGATGAAGGAGCAGGATAAAAACCCACCAGACCTAACAAATGAAGAGGAAATAGGCAGTCTACCTGAAAAAGAGTTCAGAATAATGATAGTAAAGATGATCCAAAATCTTGGAAATAGAATGGACAAAATGCAAGAAGCAGTTAACAAGGACCTAGAAGAAATAAAGATGAAACAGACAATGATGAACAACACAATAAATGAAATGAAAAATACTCTAGATGGGATCAATAGCAGAATAAATGAGGCAGAAGAACGGATAAGTGACCTGGAAGATAAAATAGTGGAAATAACTACTGCAGAGCAGAATAAAGAAAAAAGAATGAAAAGAACTGAGGACAGTCTCAGAGACCTCTGGGACAACATTAAACGCACCAACATTCGAATTATAGGGGTTCCAGAAGAAGAAGAGAAAAAGAAAGGGACTGAGAAAATATTTGAAGAGATTATAGTTGAAAACTTCCCTAATATGGGAAAGGAAATCGTTAATCAAGTCCAGGAAGCACAGAGAGTCCCATACAGGATAAATTCAAGGAGAAATACGCCAAGACACATATTAATCAAACTGTCAAAAACTAAATACAAAGAAAGCATATTAAAAGCAGCAAGGGAAAAACAACAAATAACACACAAGGGAATCCCCATAAGGTTAACAGCTGATCTCTCAGCAGAAACTCTACAAGCCAGAAGGGAGTGGCAGGACATACTGAAAGTGATGAAGGAGAAAAACCTGCAACCAAGATTACTCTACCCAGCAAGGATCTCATTCAGATTTGATGGAGAAATTAAAACCTTTACAGACAAGCAAAAGCTGAGAGAGTTCAGCACCACCAAACCAGCTTTACAACAAATGCTAAAGGAACTTCTCTAGACAAAAACACAAGAGAAGGAAAAGTCCTATAATAACGAACCCAAAACAATTTAGAAAATGGGAATAGGAACATACATATCGATAATTACCTTAAATGTAAATGGACTAAATGCTCCCACCAAAAGACACAGATTGGCTGAATGGATACAAAAACAAGACCCATATATATGCTGTCTACAAGAGACCCACTTCAGACCTAGAGACACATACAGACTGAAAGTAAGGGGATGGAAAAAGATATTCCATGCAAATGGAAACCAAAAGAAAGCTGGAGTAGCAATTCTCATATCAGACAAAATAGACTTTAAAATAAGGACTATCAGAAGAGACAAAGAAGGACACTACATAATGATTAAGGGATCGATCCAAGAAGAAGATATAACAATTGTAAATATTTATGCACCCAACATAGGAGCACCTCAATACATAAGGCAAAAACTAGCAGCCATAAAAGGGGAAATCGACAGTAACACATTCATAGTAGGGGACTTCAACACCCCACTTTCACCAATGGACAGATCATCCAAAATGAAAATAAATAAGGAAACACAAGCTTTAAATGATACATTAAACAGGATGGACTTAATTGATATTTATAGGACACTCCATCCAAAAACAACAGAATACACATTTTTCTCAAGTGCTCATGGAACATTCTCCAGGATAGATCATATCTTGGGTCACAAATCAAGCCTTGGTAAATTTAAGAAAATTGAAATTGTATCAAGTATCTTTTCCGACCACAACGCCATGAGACTAGATATCAATTATAGGAAAAGAGCAGTAAAAAATACAAACACATGGAGGCTAAACAATACACTACTTAATAACGAAGTGATCACTGAAGAAATCAAAGAGGAAATTAAAAAATACCTAGAAACAAATGACAATGGAGATACAACGACCCAAAACCTATGGGATGCAGCAAAAGCAGTTCTAAGAGGGAAGTTTATAGCAATACAAGCCCACCTTAAGAAGCAGGAAACATCTCGAATAAACAACCTAACCTTGCACCTCAAGCAATTAGAGAAAGAAGAACAAAAAAACCCCAGAGTTAGCAGAAGGAAAGAAATCATAAAAATCAGATCAGAAATAAATGAAAAAGAAATGAAGGAAACAATAGCAAAGATCAATAAAACTAAAAGCTGGTTCTTTGAGAAGATAAACAAAATAGATAAACCATTAGCCAGACTCATCAAGAAAAAAAGGGAGAAGGCTCAAATCAATAGAATCATAAATGAAAAAGGAGAAGTACCAACTGACACTGCAGAAATACAAAGGATCATGAGAGATTACTACAAGCAACTCTATGCCAATAAAATGGACAATCTGGAAGAAATGGACAAATTCTTAGAAATGCACAAACTACCAAGACTGAATCAGGAAGAAACAGAAAATATGAACAGACCAATCACAAACACTGAAATTGAAACTGTGATTAAAAATCTTCCAACAAACAAAAGCCCAGGACCAGATGGCTTCACAGGCGAATTCTATCAAACATTTAGAGAAGAGCTAACACCTATCCTTCTCAAACTCTTCCAAAATATAGCAGAGGGAGGAACACTCCCAAATTCCTTCTACGAGGCCACCATCACCTTGATACCAAAACCAGACAAGGATGTCACAAAGAAAGAAAACTACAGGCCAATATCACTGATGAACATAGATGCAAAAATCCTCAACAAAATACTAGCAAACAGAATCCAAGAGCACATTAAAAGGATCATACACCATGATCAAGTGGGGTTTATTCCAGGAATGCAAGGATTCTTCAATATACGCAAATCTATCAATGTGATTAACCATATTAACAAATTGAAGGAGAAAAACCATATGATCATCTCAAGAGATGCAGAGAAAGCTTTGGACAAAATTCAACACCCATTTATGATAAAAAACCCTGCAGAAAGCAGGCATAGAGGGAACTTTCCTCAACATAATAAAGGCCATATATGACAAACCCACAGCCAACATCCTCCTCAATGGTGAAAAACTGAAAGCATTTCCACTAAGATCAGGAACAAGACAAGGTTGCCCACTCTCACCACTCTTATTCAACATAGTTTTGGACGTTTTAGCCACAGCCATCAGAGAGGAAAAGGAAATAAAAGGAATCCAAATCGGAAAGGAAGAAGTAAAGCTGTCACTGTTCGCAGATGACATGATACTATACACACAGAATCCTAAAGATGCTACCAGAAAACTGCTAGAGCTAATCAATGAATTTGGTAAAGTAGCAGGATACAAAATTAATGCACAGAAATCTCTGGCATTCCTATATACTAATGATGAAAAATCTGAAAGTGAAATCAAGAAAACACTCCCATTTACCATTGCAACAAAAAGAATAAAATATCTAGGAATAAACCTACCTAAGGAGACAAAAGACCTGTATGCAGAAAATTATAAGACACTGATGAAAGAAATTAAAGATGATACAAACAGATGGAGAGATATACCATGTTCTTGGATTGGAAGAATCAACATTGTGAAAATGACTCTACTACCCAAAGCAATCTATAGATTCAATGCAATCCCTATCAAACTACCACTGGCATTTTTCACAGAACTAGAACAAAAAATTTCACAATTTGTATGGAAACACAAAAGACCCCGAATAGCCAAAGCAATCTTGAGAACAAAAAATGGAGCTGGAGGAATCAGGCTGCCTGACTTCAGACTATACTACAAAGCTACAGTAATCAAGACAGTATGGTACTGGCACAAAAACAGAAAGATAGATCAATGGAATAGGATAGAAAGCCCAGAGATAAACCCATGCACATATGGTCACCTTATCTTTGATAAAGGTGGCAGGAATATACAGTGGAGAAAGGACAGCCTCTTCAATAAGTGGTGCTGGGAAAACTGGACAGGTACATGTAAAAGTATGAGATTAGATCACTCCCTAACACCATACACAAAAATAAGCTCAAAATGGATTAAAGACCTAAATGTAAGGCCAGAAACTATCAAACTCTTAGAGGAAAACATAGGCAGAACACTCTATGACATAAATCACAGCAAGATCCTTCTTGACCCATCTCCTAGAGTAATGGAGATAAAAACAAAAATAAACAAATGGGACCTAATGAAACTTCAAAGCTTTTGCACAGCAAAGGAAACCATAAACAAGACCAAAAGACAGCCCTCAGAATGGGAGAAAATATTTGCAAATGAATCAACTGACAAAGGATTAATCTCTAAAATTTACAGGCAGCTCATGCAGCTCAATAACAAAAAAATAAACAACCCAATCCAAAAATGGGCAGAAGACCTAAATAGACATTTCTCCAAAGAAGATATACAGACTGCCAACAAACACATGAAAGAATGCTCAACATCATTAATCATTAGAGAAATGCAAATCAAAACTACAATGAGATATCATCTCACACCAGTCAGAATGGCCATCATCAAAAAATCTAGAAACAATAAATGCTGGAGAGGGTGTGGAGAAAAGGGAACACTCTTGCACTGCTGGTGGGAATGTGAATTAGAGTCATGTACCACAATGTTCATTGCAGCTCTATTTACAACAGCCAGGAGATGGAAACAACCTAAGTGCCCACCGTCGGATGAATGGATAAAGAAGATGGGGCACATATATACTAATGGAATAGTACTCGGCCATAAAAAGAAACGAAATTGAGCTATTTGTAATGAGATGGATAGACCTAGAGTCTGTCATACAGAGTGAAGTAAGTCAGAAAGAGAAAGACAAATACCGTATGCTAACACATATATATGGAATTTAAGAAAAAAAATGTCATGAAAAACCTAGGGGTAAGACAGGAATAAAGACACAGACCTACTGGAGAACGGACTTGAGGATATGGTGAGGGGGAAGGATGAGCTGTGATAGGGCGAGAGACAGACATGGACATATATATACTAACAAACGTAAGGTAGATAGCTAGTGGGAAGCAGCCGCATAGCACAGGGAGATCAGCTCGGTGCTTTGTGACCACCTGGAGCGGTGGGATAGGGAGGGTGTGAGGGAGGGAGACGCAAGAGGGAAGAGATATGGGAACATATGTATAACTGATTCACTTTGTTATAAAGCAGAAACTAACACACCATTGTAAAGCAATTATACCCCAATAAAGATGTTAAAAAAAAAATGTCATTAAGTTTAGCGGAAAAAAAAATGACAATACCTGCAAACTTAAAGGCAGGTCGTGAATCCTGGTAGCCAGCGTGCGGATTTCTCTGTCAGATAAGACACCAGATTGGTCTGTGTCAACTTCATCAAAAACCTGAGATATGTTCAGTGGCTGAACTGCACTCATGAGATAATAAAAATAAGAGAAGGCAAACTGCATGTCCTCAGAGTGGCGCACTTTGTGAAATGACGTCTTGTCAAATTCTTCAGGGAACCTGTCCAAATGTAGCATACCATAAGATCTGGATATTTAAAATATATACAGTACCTAACACTTGTGGAGTCAGAATCTTCCTTCCCACTTATATAGATAATACCTTCTACATACTAGTCATCAAGTGTCAGAGCCATAAACGCAGCATAGCAAGGATGTAAACTTCAAGCAGCCTTGGCTCTGAGCACACACAAACAACTCAAACATAAGCAAGACTTACATGTCTTGCAGTTCTTGCATAACTATTCGGTCGATCATGTGAGGCATGTGTGCAGGGACTTTTCGAGATGTGAATCCAAACTTGCTATTTAGAATTTTGTTTACATATCGGAGGGAATCTGCGAACGTATCTTTTAGTTGCCTCCCTGTGTGTCTGCTCTCAGTAAAGTATGCCAGTTGTGTCTTCAGTGACTCTTCTTCCTGAAAAGAGAAGTCCACACAACACAGCATTGTGTTTAGGGCACAGGTGCCTTGTGCTAACAAGAGACAGAGGTACTACTTTATGTCACGTGGTAATAACTAGTCACTAACTGTCCTGAGGGGCAAATGAAACGAGCACTAACAGGTCTCCTCAAGCATCCTAACAGCAGGACAAACTGGATTTCAGTGAAAAGTATCGCCAACATCGGCTTGAGAACAACAACTATGGGGTGGAGGTCTGCTTTTAGGGTACTCTTTTAAGGACTAGTCATTGATCATGAGATTTCATAGCCAGTTTCAATGCAATATTTAATTGATTTACAACAAATTTGATAGTGCTTTCAGTATCAAGTTATTTCTACTGGTGACATGCAAGCAGCAAGTCCTTGAGTTCTGAACACAAAGACTAGAATACAAAATTGGTTTCACCATATAACAGTGTTAATATTATGAAATGTAAAGAACGCTGTCAAAACCAGTAAGAGGCGAAACTGAATGAATGGGCACAGAATATTGGCAAAGAACCTGAACACACTTTACAGAAGATGAAATATTTTTGTTTCTCAAACTGATGGAAATATAGATGCTATTAACTGCTGTTGGTTAGTCCTGTGGAGAAACAAGCACGCTTGCATACTGTTTGTGGAAGGAGGAAGGGGTGCAATATTTAAGAAAGACACAGTTAAATTTTATATGCAATAGACCCTTTAACCTAGCAATTCTACCTACAGAAATAAAACTTCCTCAAGAGTAAGATATATGTACGAGAATATTTATTGCAACATTAGGTATCTGTACTTGCAAAAACACTGGACACAACTTACAGCTGTTAAAAAAAACAGTGGCAATTTGCCTACATACTACCACATCAAAGGCAACTGCAGAGCAATATATATAACTTCACTGCTGCAAAACAAACTATATAGTTTGCATGTCTGCATATCTATAGAAAAATACTGTTAGAATACCCACCAAACTACATATTCATAGTGACTGTCTCAAGTAAGGAGATTAAGGAAGGAAAGAGACAGACCTTTCCCTTTTTTTTTTTTTTTTCTGCTTTTTTTGTTTTTTGCATTGCTTGTGATTTTTACCATTAGCCTATAGTGCTTTTGCAATTTAAGAAGCAGGGAGCGGGGGAGAATGAGGAAATCAATGTAGGCAAGAACTCTGCAGCCCCTTGCTTAACAATTAGTAAATGCTACCATGGCAGGGACAAGATACTTCCTGAAGACCATGAGAGGAATGAGACAACGCCCCTCTTCATCACTTTCCCCCAGCCTAACGTCCACTCACGGCTGTGCTTTGGTCATGATCCAGCCCCACCTTTCCAAGGTCAGCTCACAGGGCATGTCCTCCTGGATGCCTCCCCCGATACCTCCAGGCAGAGTTAAGGAATCTTCCCTTCGGACTCCTTGTCCATACTTCAGCAGACACTTATCACACTGCCACAATTATGTGCCCACGAATCTGTCCTCCCAGCTTGCTCTCTGAGTCTCCAAGAGCAGCGACTGTTCACACCATCTTGCACTCCCCGGCAGTCAGCACAGTGACGGCGCTTGTGAGATGTACAAAGGACCCCAAGGCACCGTGGAGGCCGTGGTACAGGAGGGAGAGCGCTTGGCTCACCCTCACCTGCTGTTGTGATGTCGGGAAAGCTAACGAATTTATCTGCCTCTCAGGTTTTTCATTAGTAAAGTTTGAAAAACACGAGATCTGACTGCATGAGGTATGCAAAAGTGTTTTCTGATATCGCAACATGCCAAGTAAAGATACCATCCCTGTTCTACTATGGACTCAGGGTACGCCCCTGGCTAAATCCCTTACTCATTCACATGAAGGCTGCTTCCTAAACTGCAAAATGGGGACAATGATAGCAGACCCTTACAAGGTAGTTTTACTGTTAGAATTATTGGGACAATTAAATGAAACCACGTAAGAAAAGTACTGAGTCCAGTGGCGGGCACAGGGAAGTACTGAATAAATGGTAGCTATTATTATCTCACTACCACTTACAAGGTTATTTATTTTTCCTGAGCATGGGAAACAATAAGGCTGGATGTAACTTACATCAAGAAGATCTTGGAAATACTTTTTCTTCTCCCATGGCAAAAAGCCCAGGTAACTCTCTGTGTAACGTTGCAGTTTTCTTCCAGGTAATACTTCGTTACCACCTAGGTAACTGTTAGCATCTTCCTCCATTCTGTTCTTCTCTTGTTCTTTCCCTGTGATTACCTTTTGTGTCTCCCTGTTTTCCAGTGGGAAAATCAGAGATGAGAGCTTTTCTTTTGACACACCTCCACCTCCTACTTTCGGGGTCACAGTTTTGGACTTGAATCTTGCTTTGGTTTTTAAGTCCAGGGGTGGAGTCTGGCTCTGGGAGTGGCCATTCACTGTCATTGTCACTGCTGGAAAAGGCAATAACCCCTGGAATCTTTCAGATGTTCCTAAGCTGCTGGGTAAGATGCTTTTGTGAACCTGTTTCTCCAGTGGGGCCTCCAAACTGTCATTTCTTTGCTCTGTCATCAGAGGGCGATTTATTGTTAACTTTGCATCCTGTGGGTTCATCAGAAACGACCTCAGCAGGGCTGACTTGGACAGATTGTATCCTTTCACGGTGATGTCTCCGTGTTCTAGCTGCAAATCCAAGTTATTAAGGCTCAACTGGGTCTCTTTTGGAAGGAGTGAAATATTGACCAGCGGAATTTGCACCTCCATTTGGAAACTTCCTGTTGTGTTAACATCGTGTCTTTTGACCTTGGGGAAGCGTTTTTCTTCGGGGATATCCTCAAACAGGATTTCCACCTCTGGAAGAAGAGCTGAGGGGCTAACCAAACTTTGGTAAGACTTCTGGGTCGTAGAATTCCGTTTGGGCTCCTCCCTTGTGTCAACCTCTACTGCTATCTGGATTCTGAACTCTTCATCATTTGTACTTTGAAATGTGAGATTAAAATGTATTGTGGTCGCATTCATTCCACTGTGCATTAAGAGGTGGATGGTTTTCCACTTATTGGCGATAGAAGCATGTCGGATTACTGGGTCGTCACTATAGGCGCCTTCGATTCCCCTTTTGGCTATTTCTGCAAAGCTGAAATAAGGCAGGCATTCACCTTTCGGAATAACATAGTGAGTCTGGTTTGGGAGAAGAGTTACTTTATACAATTCATGAAAATGATCTAGAGGAAAAAAACACAAACACGATTTTTTAAAAGCTACGCATTTTCCCCCTTTTCCTTTAATTCTTAGGGTTTGAGTTTTCACTTTCTAAGAGTGACTTTAAATGGACTTTAAAATCATCAGAAGTTCTAACACAAAAGCTACTGGTATAGGGCTCATTTTTACTTTCTGAAGCAATCACTATTATCGACATGGAATGCTGAGGCTGACTTACTACAGAGACAAGGCACGGTTCAGGACAGCGAATTCCAATGGTCAACTTCCATCTTTTTGTCCATTTGAAAAAAAGACAACTTTCTGACCAAAAGGACTGCCATTAATAAGCTATCAACAAAATCCAGTATTCAAACCAAGCTTATTTAATGAATTATTGGTCTCCTTTCACTGTTCCTAAATTAAACCTTCACCATGTTAAGATAAATCTGCTTACTAAAAAAAAGAAAAAAAAAAAATCAGACTAGAGCAGTAACAGGAAAAGATGCAGCTTCAGTGTCTCATGTTGTCTAAAGATCTGTGCCCTCTCATAACTCACAACTAGTTTGGATGCAAGGCTGGGAAAGGGATACCTAGAGAATTATTACTTTAAATAACAGAAACAATCCAAACCCCTCTATTTACAAAAGACTGTTATCCCCTTATACTAAATATGTTTTTATGGCAATAAATATACCTTGCCCACAGTCACCAGCATCAAACCCACAGGATAAGACATTGCAGGCTTGGTCACAGAACTTATCAGCGAGCCAGGAATTTGCACATCCTTGATTACAGTAAGAGACACCGCTTATTCCTCCACCGAAATGCCAGGGCTGTCCGACTCCAATGCCCCCGGTGCCCCCACCTCCTCCTACATAGCGACCCGCACCACTGTTACCTGGAGGGAGAGGAGGAAAACAGAATCCTGCTGTGCTTACAGTCTTGGAAAAAAGCCAGTTCCTTATTTCTCAGCTGTGTTTTCAAGACAGATGCATGAATTTCAGTCAGGAAAGGTTCACCCCATTCTTTAACAGAAGATTTTACATAGCTTAAAAAGAGACAAACTGAAAAGGGGGCATCAGTTGCCAGTGGACTGGGTGTGGGATGACCAGGCCTCGGCACTTACCATCTGTGCATCCCAGAAGTACAGGCCTCAGATGTGCTCAAGGGGGGCACATGCAGATGTGTATGGAGGATCAGATTATTCTGAAGACCGTGACTCTTGGGACTGACAAGAACATGTCCTAACACTGGCAATAAGCTCGTGACCAAGTGTCACTGCTCTGTCCCCGAGCTCTCCGCGTTGCAGAGACTCTCCTGCATGTCTACGTTCTCTCCCTGCAGCAGTTTGTATTTTTCAAAAGTGCCTCTGATAGAGCTGACTGAAACACAAGCTTTGTTTCTTCCAACACCTTCCCAAACCTGTTTCCTCAAATGGAGTAGGATGAGAATATCTGTGCACCTACTCTCCTTTCTTTGGTGACTGAGAAATTCAGGTGGATAATGGATGATGCTTTATAAACTGAAAGGCAATAAAGAAATGTAAAAACTTGTTATCCTCAACAAGTCTAAATGTTAGTGTACAAGAAAGGGAGAAGAGATGCTGAGGAGAGGAGATGTTTCTTTCTTCCGCATCTCTTTAGTCCCTCACTGACCTGGAGCAGTGTGCTTCTAGGGGCCACTGGCCATGAGCTCCGACAGGAACCAGTGAGAGCGATTCTTGCTCTTGAGCTCACATAATTAAGGGTATAACTGATTTTCATATTTTGAATAATAAAAGACACTTTCAAGTGCAGGGTCATGAGGGAAAATGCCCCCAACAATAACAATATGAATAAACTGGGCCACATGGGGACACCAGTCATCACCTCCAAAGAGTCTATGGATGATTGTTTCAATACGCGAAGAATGTTTAATTAAGTCACTGTACATGGTTGATAATGACGACAAATGAAAAAAATTCTGTCAACATGAACAAGTTACATTTGAACACACCCTTACCGGAGCAATCACCGCCATCCCAATCACAGGCCGAATTATTACAAGCCTTGTCACAATAGCCATCTTTAATCCAGGATCCTGGGCAGCCCTCAGCACAGTTTGGCACAGGCCATGTCAAATAAACCTACGATAAAACCAGAGGGAAAATAAAGTGGTTTCTGGTTTCTGACACTTTTTTTAAAAATATTTATTTATTTACTTATTTGGTTGCACGCCAGGTCTTAGTTGCAGAAGACGGGCTCCTTAGTTGCAGCTTGCTGGCTCCTTAGTTGTGGCATGCGAACTCTTAGTTGCAGCATGAATGTGGGATCTAGTTCCCTGACCAGGGATCGAGACTGGGCCCCCTGTATTGGGAGCTCAGAGTATTATCCACTGCGCCACCAGGGAAGTCCCCTGACACTTTTTATTCTTAAATTAGGATTCCTTTAACAGAAAAACAAAACAAATTGAGCCTCTAGAAAAGGTCTGTGTTCGGGGCCATCCTGTGGTAGTTTCTCAGTCCTGCCCTGCTGATGGGTCTTATTCGGCACATTTACTGTTTTCCGTTGCTCAAGGAAAGGAGACAAGGACTCAACTTACGGGTCAGTCTTACAACATGGTCTTATAAATGATCTATTTTGAAATAAAGCAGCAACATGCCAGACTTAAATGCGAGTTCAAGAGCGTGCAGGTGGAAAGTGTGCACACAAGTCACTGTTTTTCTGTGACACTGTTGTCAACTCCTAAGCAGATTCATGCACCGTCTCGTCTCAAGGCTGAAAAGGCAGGGCAGACGAACTCTCAATATCCTTATACGTGAGGTCCTGTGATGAATTATCCAGCACAGCATTCTGAGCTGTGAACCTGTCTGCTTTCAAAACAACTGACATGGTACCTGGTTGCTTTCTAAATTAAAATCATTTTTGAAAAATGCATTCCCCTTTAAAATCTCCGTATCTTTGGGCTTCCCTGGTGGCGCAGTGGTTGAGAGCCCGCCTGCCGATGCAGGGGACACGGGTTCACGCCCCAGTCCAGGAAGATCCCACATGCCGCGGAGCGGCCGCGCCCGTGAGCCATGGCCGCTGAGCCTGTGTGTCCGAAGCCTGTGCTCCACAACAGGAGAGGCCACAACAGTGAGAGGCCCGCGTACCGCAAAAAAAAAAAAAAAATCTCCGAATCTTTGCACGGTGCAACTACCTGCAAGGTCTTTCTTCATCTGGTTAACTCCTGTTCTTCCAAGCTCATCTCAGTCCCTATCCCAGTGTGACTTCGCTCTCTGGCGCTCCCACGCCTCGCACCCAGGGCACACCTACTGGCACGGAAATCGCTGTACACAGTCACTGGTTTTGTCTGTCTCCCCTGTCAACCCATAGCTTGACAGAGTTCTAGAACTTACAAGCTTATGGTGATAAGTCTCCAACTGATCACTGAACCCTTCTAACAACACTACCAGGGTCTTCCTGTTCCCCCCAATACACAGACAGGAAACCTAGAGGCCAGGTCATCACCCAGGACAGTGCTACACAGCTGGCACCTATATCTGTGCTCGTGACCACTTTCCCATCCTGCCCCTCAAAGCCAGAGTGAGACCGGCTGCCTTCAATGAAATTTCAGCCCTGTCTTTAAGCACTACTTTGAGCTTTCTACCTTGGGCATTTTGCTGACATGGTAAAAACGATTTTGTGTTTCACAATTATTTGTTTTGTCTTCTGTTGCAGTAGCAAATGTAGAGGGGGGGTCCTGGGTGAGATTATAGGGAAGCAAAGTTCCCACTGTAGTTTTCTCACTCCCTGATTGTTAACTTTCCTGAGCTTAACACTCAAAAATGCTTGTTTGATCAAATTTGAATATGGTATATATACTGATTTCCTTATTTCCTGTCTGTAACTTCTAAGTGACTTCTAAGCCAGGCATCTCTTAGCTACTCACCTTCTGACCTTTGGAGTGACTGTAAAAATCATCCGGCCAGACATCCTTTCCAAACATGACATCATCATTCAGGTAAATGAACTTCTGGGACAGCCCTTTGATGCGATGGATGTGACTTTCAATAGCAGGTGAACTGAAGGTAGGCAAGTGGCTCAGATTTCGAAAAACATCCTTTTAACAGAAAAAAAAAGAGAAAGAGAGAGAAGGCAGATGAGAGGTTTTTGTTTTGTTTTGTTTTGTTTTAAAGAAGGGGGGGAAAGAGGCGAATGGAAGGATTAAAGGAAGGTGGAAATGGAGGTGAGATGGGTAAGAAGATGAAATCAGGAACAAGACAAAGAACAGCAAAAGACAGAACAGGAAACCGCAGCCTTGTGACATATGGCGAGTCGCTACCTGGTGTGTGACTATTGTCACTCGAGGATTATCGAGGTTCAGCCAGGATGGGATCTGTCCATTGGTGACAATGAAAATATTCCGAACCCACGGCGCATGCCTCTCGATAGATCGCAGTGAGTACCTCAGCTCTTCATTATCTTCAAAACGGCTGGCAGAAACGTCTTCATCCTGCTTAGACTGAGAAAAGCATGGGACACAGAAAGATGTAAAATGTCCCTAAGTCACACCTGCCCCTCCCAACTGTCCCTTCTGCATTCAGGGAGCGCCAGCAAACTTCCAAAGACTGTGTCCAGCTTTTACACATTATAAAAAATGCAAAACACTCAGCATATTTAAAACAACACAACAAAAACAGCATTTCTTTCACACATTTTTTGAAGAAAAATTTCTTGGATCTGATTCTAGGTCACTTTCAATTAGTATAAACCAATGGCGGTGACTGGAAAATTAGAGAAGTGCCAATCAAGTGACCTCTCTGTAAGCCCTCTTCCTTCTTCTAAGATAGTGACTCATAAATCTTTAATAATCAAAGCCCTCAATTCGGGTTCTAAAACAATCTGCATCCCTTACCTGGCTGATGGCACTCAGATCCCATAATAAATATGCAGGACTTATGGTCAGTTCCTTTCCATTGATGGTCATATTCTTCTTCGTCTGCTTATTCAGTTCTTGGAAATCTTTGGGGTTATTCAACTTTAGAAGTGCTACACTGGCCTCTGAATATAACTGCAACTATAAAATAGCAAGAGGGTTGCATGTGGAAAAACTGAACAACAAAGAAGAGACACCTTAAACTTCCCAGTTTGATCCTCGATCTTTAAATACACACAATACATATATATACTACATATTGTGTACTCTACTATATGCTATATATTGTACATATTAAATGTATATTACATATATTTAAAAGATTAAAAGTTTCACATACATGTATGAAATAGTAAGCCAGTATCACCAAAAACAGAAGACCTGAACAGGCCAGACACATTTCCCAAATGATGCAATGGACCAAGTATTTAGAAACAAGAGGGAGTCAGGGGCTTTGGCAAATGGGACATCTCAGGCCCCATCTGAAAACTGCAGCCACTAGTCAATAGTGACAAAGGCTGCCAGATCTCTGGAGAGGCCAGAATCCCCAGTGTTACATGAAATCTCCTGGTTTTCAATGGTAGCGCAAATATTTTTGATTGGCATGCATTCAAACAAAACACATCTGGTCACCAGTTTGTGACCTCTGTTCTAGAATATTACCCATCTGCCTACACTGGGGAAAGCCCTGCAAGGTAACTTCACTGAACACTGGTGGAGAGCACACCTGCCAGCTGGTGTCTAACAGCTCTCGGGCCCACACCTACGACGGGTGTCCTGGCAGGGCTGCTTGAAGTGCTTCCACAGGAAAACCACCTTGAGAGGCAACGTTTTCAAAGCAACCATAAATCCAGGAGGGAACACCACAAGCACCAACATGTTTTACAGGCAGGCTTTCCCACCTTGACCAGAGCCCACACCACCCTTGATACGTTTTTTGTTTTAACTCTGTATCATACAATTTCCTGTGAAAAGAGGCTTTCAGAGCTTAAAAAGCAGGGAGAGGGTTGAAAACCAGTCATCTAGGACAGCAACATCCTTCTGCTGAATTGGCTCTTCTAATAGGGCCAATTTCTTTCTTAATTTCTTAGCCTTCTTTCTTAATTTATAAAACAGAGCAAACAAATTACTTTGGGCTCATTCTGATCTCTTGTATATGCTACATGACTACATTTAGCTCATCTTGCAAAGCTTCCTGAGTTTATATAGGCCAAAAGTAGAGTTTATGTAGGCCCTTTTTATTATGTAGGCATTAACTCTTACTGCAAATTGTGTGTGTGTGTGTGTGTGTGTGTGTGTGTGTGTGTGCGTGCGCACGCACATGCACACGTGTGTTGTCTTCCTGACTGATTACTTTCTCTCACCTTAACAGTGCCTGGTATACACAAAGCACTCACCCAAGGTCAGCTCTCACTGCCGTCTCTATTCTGCCTCGCTATGCAGGGGACGGATGGGAGGCGGGCCACGCCGGGCAAACATTCTGTCTGTTCTATCTGGATACCTAACAGTCCCGCTGCCCTCCCCCAGCCTCTCCTCCCACAGTGGCTCCCACAGAACCTTGGAGGGGCTCCCTGGAGTGTCACTACTATAGGATAAATAAATGTAGTACTTTAATATCCTAATTTAATTTTAAATTTATTTGGAAAATACACTTATCTTAATTAATCTCTTCTATCCAAGCCGCTTTTATTCTAGAAAAGTATTTTGAAATTTCAGACATTTTCCTAAGGTGATCACTAGGGCATAAGATGAATAGGCAGTACCTGTCCTGAGATGCTCACAGCCCGGCCAGGGTCTCTGGGACAGAACTGAGTGCTAGGTGGCTTGGGGTCCACAGGCCTTGGCAAGGGCCCCCTGGAGGGGCCTGGGAGGGCACAGAGGTTCAGCTGTTCAGGTCCTGAAGCCCAGTGTCTAACGGCCCTCCCTCCCACATGCCACAAGGCCCCTCCAATGTAACACCCCAAACTGAGCTCTCAGTGTCCTTCTGAAAACCTCGCTTCTCCCATGAAGCTCTGAGTGTGGTTAATGCCACCACATCCATCTTCACTGGTCACATCCACTTCCCCTTTCAATTCCCTTCCATCTCCTCCAGTAGCTAATAAGTCACCAGGTCATGCTGAAGGTTTCTCTCAGATGGTTCTGGAACCACTCTCATCACTGGCACCACTGCCAAGGCACTTGTGGAACCTGAGTGTCTTGCTGGGCTGCGGCAGCAGCGGCTGAACTGGCTTTCCTGCCTCCGGCTTCCTGTTTAATGTCCACCTGCTACACCTTCCGCTCCCGTGTTCTGCAGACCTAAACCGGGTCCTCCTCCTCAAGACGCGCTCTACCTCCAGGATAAAGTCCGGGCTCCTCACCAGGGGATCTTTCTCAATCTGGCCTCCACCTAACTTCCCAGTCTCAGCATCAGGAAAATCCCCACCTGGGCTCTGGCCTCTGGAACAGCTGCCTTGGTTCTCTGAAAAGACCATTTACTTGCAAGCCCCTAGCCCTCTGCTCAAGCTGTTCCCTCCTCTCAGAAAGGTCTTTCCCACTGGCTTCTCTGCTGGAAGAACGGCTGTTCTGTGCACGGCCCCAGCCAAAATGTTTCCTCTTCTGCAAAGCTGTCTTTGCCTGCAGTACAACCGAAGCCCACATGTTCTCCCAGCACTTTGTATAAACACTTTGTTTGGAAGCAATCACACCCAAACACTAAGTGATTTTAGTCACTCAGTTATCCTTAGCACAGTCCCTGGCACAACAGCAGGTGTTTAATCAACGCTCACTAAAGGGACTGGGAACCCAATTACTAGAGACTTCATTCTCAGGGTGCCCATAACAGAACCAGGAAGTGGGACCCAAGGAAAGAGAGTCCCTTGGAGAACCAGGCTTGAATACTCACACTCTCCTTCTGTGCTTCCTCTTTCTCATTTTCTCTCTAGCCTCCAAAAAATCAGAAGTCCTCATCCCTGAAGCCAATCACAGGTGCTGGCATTGTGACAATGAGCTGCAATGCACATTGCGAATAATTGGCTGTACCCCCCAGGAGGTGCCGGCCTCCACAAAGACAAGTCTGGGGAATCCAGATCAACCTCCAACTGGGTGAATGATGGAGGAGGGGGCGTCCACATGTACTGAGCCTGGTGGTGCTACTGCCCAATTCAAGTTCCTGCGCCCCCAGCGTCTCCTGGCACACACCACTCCACACTGCCGAAAAACTAGTTTGCTGCAGGGTGACCACGACTTGGGCTGGTGATCTTTGGCAGGACAGGCCCACCTAGCAGCAGATGTGCTGGTCAAAAGTACAGATACGCATATGTCTATAACTGTAGAACCAAACAGCTAGGAAGCCAAGAAGCCAAATAAATATTGGCTGAAATGAATGCTAATCTATGGTTTTATCTGCCCAAATCCATACCAAAAATAATTCAGGGAAGGAGGAATATAATATCTATTTTTAAATAACTGCAGATTAAGAAATTACTCAACCCTAATCTAGCCAGGCATCACCATACTTCCAGGTACCATAAAGAAAGTTATGGAGGAAAATATGAAGAAAAGAAAAAGCATAAATGTTATTCATATTACCATGGTATTTACAAAGGTAATACAATGTATCTTAAAACAGTGAAACACTTAAGGGGAAAAGGAAACAAGTTAAACAGGAACTTTGACTGGCAGACAGAAAACATGGTCCAGACATGAACTAAATAACCGCTGCTCCCCGAGTCACAGCTCTCCCTGCCACTACCTCCACCCTTTCACCTCCCAACTGTTAAATGACATCAAGAAGAGCAGGAACTGAGAAGCAGGAAGCTAAACACAGTGGCAAAATTTAAAGAACACTTTTTTGTAAAATCAAGAAAAGCAGAGCCTAACAAATTCTGAGCCAAGAACTTTATGCCCTCCAGTCTGAGAGAGAAACATTCACGTTTTACAACCTGGACTGTTTCTGACAGAATAGCAGGCATCTTGGCATAAGGTCAAAAGGAAAGTACACCCACACGGACTGTGCCCTACATGAATCAGACAGATGGCTCTGAGAACAAGAAATGTTATGGAAAGACATGTCACCATCTCCAAAGTCAACTCACGAATGGCCTCAGTGGTCAAGCGTGAAGAGTTAATAAGTATAAATACTAAATATGTTAGTGGCTCAACTAGCTATTAATGAATGAAGGTTTCACATTATCAAATGTTCCAAAAATCTGAAGCATACCCCCTCTGTGAGTGGAAGCTCTTCATAAATCCACAGGAGCCTGTGTGTACCTACCACCACATGTCTGATTTCCCCCTATCCCCTCCTTCCATGCTTCCACTGCCATCAGGGCTTTTGTCTGCTTTGTCCACTGCTACATTCTCAGCAGCTAGAACAGCACCTGACACACAGTAGAAGCTCATTTGTTAAACAAATGAATCCTGCTTCTGTCTGGGAAACCAAAAAACCACGTTAAGACTCAGAATTTTGCCCAAATAAAGAGTAAAAAGGGAGGATCTTCTACAAATAAAGAGCTGTCTTCATGACAACACCGTGACAGAATTGAGACCCTCTTTGCTTATGACTGTCGGCTATACTATAACAAAGGGGGCCACAGAGAAGAGGCACACATGAAATGGGATGTGCTATACTAATTGCTCTATTTTCTATGCTCTTACCAGTTTTATTTTAGAAGAAAGATTTTCTGGCAATTTTGTTTTCAGTTGATTTGTTTCCTTGAATGTAGGTGGAAATCCACTCAGGAAAGCCAAATCTTGTATTAGCACTAACCCAGGGACTTCCTTATCTGTTGTCTGAAATAAAAAGGGGAAAAACACAACTCACTTTCCACATCATAAGGCTGGTGAAAACTTACAGCTGAGAAAACTAGTAAATATCTATTGCATCACACAAGCTTCAAAATAAGAATATTACAATTATTTAAATCGATATTCACTAGTACTAGAAAGCTAGGCTTAGAGGAAAAGTAAACATTAAAAAGCCTCTCAAAGTAAAAGTTTTATTTCTCATACTTTTATTCTAATCTACTGTAAAAATACAGTTAATTTAAAGTAACATACCAAATAGCCCCTCCAAACTGTCTGTCTGCTGTTTCCTTTAAAAATTCCAGTGTGGGCATCTTCAACTACAATAGAGAATACAATAAACAGGCATGTTTTTAATGAATACTTAACTATGATGATGTCTGGCAGGACACTGTACAAGGCATTTTGAGAGCTGTTAAACCAGTATAATACATGGTCTCAAAGAAAAGGTAGTTGGGGGAGACAAAATTAACCCATCTAACAAAAGGGGAACAAATGTAAATTGCTGTACAATTAAATGTTAAATTTTGCAATACTGAAGGAGAGACTCGTGTGAACAGAAGAAACGTAGAAATGACAGACGGACAGAAATCACAGAGGTAGAAGCAAACATCAAACATCGACATGTTTAATTTAAAAAACAAAATTGTTTGACCAGAGTAAAACATCTGGGAGTGGTGGGTACTAGGGAAAAAAGGGCAACCAGATGGGAGCTTTGAAAGCAAGGCCAGTGACATTTAGATTAACGGCGGGGAGCCACTTAGGAGTCTCCTAAGGTTCCTCCAGAGTCACAGTGAATTCCTAAAATTCATCAGGTAATGTGATTAGAGCAGATTAAGTTGGGGGTGAGGTGGGTGATGACACAGCCCTACGGGGAGAGAGTTCTAAAGTGATGGGAACAAATGAGATCAGCAAACCTGCTGACATTCGGGGACCATGGAAACAGGAGAGGTTGGAAGGCTGCAATTCTGATCCTCCAAATGGGCACAGAAAGCAGGGTCTGCAGATTATAGCCTGCAAGATGGGTGTTGATCCCGAGCAAGAGTCTCAAATGTATCAGAAAAATTCAGTTGGTGAGCACTGGAGAAAAGAAAGTCTTCACAATATATTGTTTATCTTTAAAGAAAGTACTGGGCACTAAGAGCATGAGTTCATTATGGGTAAATTTATCAGATACACACCTCACTCTGCCTCCGTCTGTCTGTCTGTCTGTCTCTCCCCATTGATATGGTAGATTCTATACTGGTAAATCAGACAATTCGAATAGATGAGCAATATGTATTTGTACATAATCTCAGGAAGGCAGCCAAACAACACATGGCATCTTTGTGGATTTAACAGAGACCACATCTCAAGTTAGGTGGATTATAACCAATTCTGATCAGAGAGTGTAAAATTGTAAAAGCCACAATCAACCTAGAGGGGGGTTCTGGAGGTCTGCTATAGGTCTGCTCAACAATCCATCAAAGTTTTGGAAGATACAGAAGGCATGCTTGTGAAATGTGTGGGCTTACACGGAGCCGGCAGAGAAGCTACTACCCTGGATAACAGACTAAGGGTTCCTCAAAGTCCTTGACTGTTTGGAGCAATCAGTCAAATCTAGCAAAATAAAATCTCCTACAAACGAAGGTAAGATCTTTAACTTGGCAACAAACCAAGTAAAAATTAAAAGGAGTACTTGAAAAAAATTTCTTTAATAAATAAAAGGGGTATTTGAGCATTAGCACATGTAAGATTTTAAAAAAGACTTAGGAGTTTTAGCAGACAGTGAGTTCGGTATGAGGCAGTAATGCTCAGGCCACACTGAGTTACCATCCCAGTTTTGTGCTTTTAAGCAGAAGAAGAGGGCTTAGAGTAAGAAGGGTGTCATCCCCCAATACCAACCCATCAGGAAACCCTGTTGAGCTGACCTTCAAAATGTCCAGAGTCCAACCTCTTCTCACCACCACTCTGATCCAAGCCCCCTTCCTTTCTGCCTGAATTATTACAAGTTTTGCCCCTCCTTAGACTATTCCCACCACAGCAACCAGACTGATCCCTCTGGAACGTAAGTCAGATCACATTACTCCTCTACTCAAACCCTCCAATGATTGATTCCTCACCGCACTGTGATTGGAAGCTAAAGCCTGTTGTGGTTACTGAGGCCTATACCATTTGGTGTCTGTGACTTCTCTGGGCTCATCTCTTGCCCTCGCCCCCTTGGTTCACTCTATTCCAGCCACACTGGCCTCCCTGCTCTTCTTCAAACATGTCAGACACCCTCCTGCCTCAGGGCCTTTGCACTGGCTATTCCACTTACCTTACATATAGGGAATATATGGAGAATCACTCCTTCCCCACATATTCATGTTGCCAGCTCTCTCACCTCCTTTAAATTTTCACTCAAAAATCACCTTCTTGGGGAGTCTGCCCTACCACTCAATTTCCCCTGCTCAATTTTTCTCTATAGCATTTATCTTCTACAAACTATATAATTTACTTGTACATTGTATCAACTGTCTGGCTCCCTCTGCCAAGATATAAATATATTTTTTAATTTATTTATTTTTTAAATTTTTGTTTATGTTGGGTCTTCGTTGCTGTGCGTGGGCTTTCTCTGGTTGCAGCGAGCAGAGGCTATTCTTCATTGTGGTGCACAGGCTTCTCATTGCAGTGGCTTCTCTTGTTGTGTAGCACAGGCTCTAGGCATGTGGGCTTCAGTAGTTGTGGCACGCAGGCTCAGTAATTGTGGCACACGAGCTCTAGAGCGCAGGCTCAGTAGTTTTGGCACACAGGCTTAGTTGCTCCGCAGCATGGGGGATCTTCCCAGGCCAGGGCTCGAACCCGTGTCCCCTGCACTGGCAGGTGGATTCTTAACCACTGTACCACCAGGGAAGCCGCCCAAGATGTAAATTTGATAAGGGCCGAGATTTCTGTCCATCTGCTCACTGCTGCATCTTCAGCACTGAGAATAGTACATGGCACATAGTATGCACTCAGTAAACACTTCACAAATGAAGTGTCCCGACCTCTTTGAAGACTGAAACAGAATGTTCAATTCCAGTTGAAACACTTTTAAAGTAATAGAAACTGAAGCTCATTCTGAGAAGAGCAAACTAGGGTGCAGACAAGCCCCTAAGAGACACAGCTAAAGGAAGAAGAAGAAACGTCACACAGGAAAGGGATTACATTAGTTCTGCAGGATCCCAATGGGCATAAATTTGATCAGTGTGAGAGAGCTATAAGGAGGCACTTTGTAATTACTTGTAAAAGTCAATGTAGTCCAGAGGTAAAATCAAGTGTCACAGGAGGAAATTCATTTCCTAAACATCAAAGGGATAAGCCTGACTGGAAAAACCATTTTGCTGAGGAGACGCAGGCCCCGGCCGCAGGGCAGGATGGTTGACTGCAGGAGGACTGTCCAATTGATGGACACAAGGGAAGTGGCAGGGTAACTGGGACAGAAATGACACATTTGAGAAGGAAAAAAATCAACAGATCTCAATGATTAACTGGAAAGAGGCTAAATAAAATTTTTCTTTTTTGCAGTACACGGGCCTCTCACTGTTGTGGCCTCTCCCGTTGCGGAGCACAGGCTCCGGATGAGCAGGCTCAGCGGCCGTGGCTCACGGGCCCAGCCGCTCCGCGGCACGTGGGATCTTCCCGGACCGGGGCATGAACCCGTGTCCCCTGCATTGGCAGGTGGACTCTCAACCACTGCGCCACCAGGGAGACCCTAAATGAGATTTTTTTTTAATGCCAAACATGGCTAAAATTTTTTAATCTAGATCAGGGTTTGGCAGTCCATGGTCCAAAATCTAGCCACTGCCGAATTTAGTATGGCCCCAAGCTAAAGACAATTTTGACATTTAAAAATGGTTAAATGTTTATACAAATACCTACATAATATCTGCCATTTTGCCTCTTGTCCCACAAGGCCTAAAATACTTACTACTTGGTCCTTTAACAAAAAATTCTGTGGGTTTCCCTGGTGGCGCAGTGGTTAAGAATCTGCCCACCAATGCAGCAGACATGGGTTCAAGCCCTGGTCCAGGAAGATCCCACATGCCGTGGAGCAACTAAGCCCATGTGCCACAACTACTGAGCCTGTGTGCGTGCTAGAGCCCATGAGCCACAACTACCGAGCGCGTGTGCCACAACTACTGAAGCTTGCGCGCCTAGAGCCCATGCTCCACAACAAGAGAAGCCACCGCAGTGAGCAGCCCAAACACCGCAACGAAGTGCAGCCCCCACTCGACGAAACTAGAGAAAGCCCGCGCACAGCAACGAAGACCCAACACAGCCAAAAATAAAAAAACAAAAAACTCAGCTTTAAAAAAAAAAGAATTTTGTGATCCTGGATCTCAATAACTAAGGATGATAAAGAGTGAGTTTCTGGGGCTTCCCTGGTGGCGCAGTGGTTGGGAATCTGCCTGCCAATGCAGGGGACACGGGTTCGAGCCCTGGTCTGGGAAGACCCCACATGCCACCGAGCAACTAGGCCTGTGAGCCACAACTACTGAGCTGCGCGTCTTGAGCTCGTGCTCTGCAACAAGAGAGGCCGCGAGAGTGAGAGGCCCGTGCACGGCGATGAAAAATGGCCCCTGCTCGCCGCACCTAGAAAAAGCCCTCGCACAGAAACGAAGACCCAACACAGCCAAAAATAAATACATAAATAAATAAATAAAAATTTTTTAAAAAAAGAGTGAGTTTGTAGCCCACTAACAATGGAAGCTCCACGAAGGCAGGAATGTGCCTTTTTTTTTCTCTGCTGTTTGCCTACAACAACAACCAACTCAGAGCAGTGGCTCGACAAATCTTTACTGAATCAATATAATAGTAAGATAGTCAAATAAAAACCCAAGTGAAAATTCAAAAACAGTGTTCAGAAGACTGTCGTTTAACACAGATTTTACTTATACCAAAATTTATAATCTTTTATGTCTCTGATATGTTATAAAATTAGTGGAGATGAACCCAAGATTCTCTCCATAGACGTTATAACTGAGTTATAACTGCTAACATAATGTCATTCTTTTTTCTCTTCAGGAGAAGTGTTATCAGAGTACCTTAATTTAAGGAAACCTCAATTTAAAAAACAAAGCTAGTGGGAGAGGAGCCAAGATGGCGGAGTAGAAGGATGTGCTCTCACTCCCTCTTGTGAGAACACCAGAATCACAACTAGTTGCCGGACAATCATCGAGATGAAGACACTGGAACTCATCAAAAAAGATACCCCACAACCAAAGACAAAGGAGAAGCCACAATGAGATGGTAGGAGGGGCACAATCACAGTAAAATCAAATCCCATAACTGCTGGGTGGGTGACTCACAGACTGCA